TCTAGAAATGACAGTAGACAAAGAATAATCCTGTGTAATCCTTTCGAGGTAAAACCTGTTCCTCAACACATGGGAAAATATTATTTACAATACAAGAACAAGAAATTTCCAGCATCAGAAAATCAAATATTCTGACGCTCGGCAATCACTTTCTCATTGAAACCGGGAGAAAATTCCCTTATGTGCAAAACTACGTTAAGACATACATACTTTTTAAACACATCTGTACTTCCCTAATGTTAAATTTAGGGCAGTGTGCAAAGTGACGTTAAAATAAGAATTATAAGATAACATACCTGGAGTCGTCCTCCTCGTCGTCGTTGGCCTTCCTACAATAACCAAGAAATTTATATTTAAGTTGCAAGAATTTTGATTATATACCAATGTTCTGTCGCGATTGTCTTATTAGACCGCCGTAGTAATCTACAGTTATCTCCCATTAGTTCATAATTTTAGCGGAAGCACCTTTACAAATCGGCGTGTTTACATTCTAAATTCCTTCTTTTCCCGTAGATAGATAGCTCTACCACGCTGTAAGTTTATAATTTTACTTACCTGTTTATTTTTATGCTATTAAATACGTTTAACTCTATATTTGATCGCTAGATATTGATTTAAGTTGCATTTTTATCCATTCCTTTCTTGAAGTTTTTAAAAGTACGGAACGCAATGAGGATCATTATTTTGCAAACGTAAATTCGTATTTCATTACATTATTTCATGTATCTTTCACTGGAAGATTGTATTAAGTGTATTTCATTTTGTTCTTTTGTAGTTTTTACCGACTAAGATACAAATAAAGTTGTGATTTATACTCCTGTAGTTGACATTGATGCAATTTGGGTTACAGTTAAACTAGACGTCATTCCTCCGGGATACGACTGAATAACCAAAATCATAAAATTATGTACCAAGACTATAAGTTAGGTCTGACTAATTTTAATTATGGCAGTTTTTCTTCAATTGGAAAATTTCATACCCGATTAGCAGCCCCGAAAACAAGTTTTTCAGGCCAAAGTCCCATGACCAGGTTAGAAATTCTTCCAATCTCAGATATTTCGCCCACCTCGGACGTAATCCTGACTGAGCCACTGATAAGGACGGAAAATAAATCTAACGCGATTTTAGAAGTGACAGTAGACAAAGAAAAATCCTGTGTAATCCTTTCGAGGTAAAACCTGTTCCTCAACACATGGGAAAATATTATTTACAATACAAGAACAAGAAATTTCCAGCATCAGAAAATCAAATATTCTGACGCTCGGCAATCACTTTCTCATTGAAACCGGGAGAAAATTCCCTTATGTGCAAAACTACGTTAAGACATACATACTTTTTAAACACATCTGTACTTCCCTAATTTAAATTTAGGG